GGTACATCCTGAGAAGGCTGGCTGATGCCGTTGTGAGGTTGCTTTCTTATAATCTTTGAGATGTTGCGGAGGTCAGCTAACAGCTTAGTCAGCCTCATTTCGGTCCCTTGGAAAATCATGGAGCAAGTTCTCTTAGAAGCTATTTCTAGGCATGTGAAGGAGAAGGCTATTGGGAATAGCCAACATGACTATACTTGGCAAAATTATTACCTTTGGTGAAATGACTAGATCTGTAGATCTAAAGCCTTTGGCATCATCTGCTTTACCAGGACTGTTGAAACAGTCTTCTGCAGCATCCTTCTCTGAGAGTTGGGACATTGCAGATTGAGAACTACTAAATGAGTAAAAAAACCTGACTGGATCGTCAGGCTGAAAGAGAAGTGGCTAGTGGTTCACACTTTACCTGAAAGTGGATTACAAGTGGAGTTCCTCAGGGATCTAGCCTGGGACCTGTCCTGTTGAAAGGAGGAGGATGTGGGATGCACCTTTGTGATGTTTATGGCTGGGGAAGGTGCCATAGACAGCTAGAAATAGGCTGGAGGAATGGCTCATCAGAAACCTAAAGCTTCAACCAAGGAAGCTGAAAATCCTGGTGTGAAGTTCTGCACCTGGGCCTGTACACTGCAGTGGTACAGGCTGGGAACTGGGGGGCTGGGGGACCACCCGGCTGAAGGGACCTGGAGGTCCTGATGGACAGTGGGCTGCACGTGGGCTGGCACTGAGGCGTATGAGGCTGTATTAGCAGGAGATCAAAGCAGATCAAGGGACGTGATTCTTCTTCTCTACTTGGCACTTACTAGGCTGCTCCTGGAATGCTGAGTGCATTCTAGGCCCACCAGTACAGGAAGGCAGTTAGTAAACTCCTATTCACTAACAGAGAAGGACTGGTGTTAGAGGTGGTGGTCGGAGATCGTCTAGGCCTTAGTGATCATGAAATGGTAGAGTTTTCGATCTTTGGTAAGGTAAGGAAGGGGGTCAGCAACACCGCCACCATGGATTTCCGGAGGGCAGACTTTGACCTGCTCAGAATGCTGGTTGGGAGTCCCTTGGGAGACAGTCCTGAAGGGCAAAGGGGTCCAAGAAGGCTGGGTATTTTTCAAGGAAGAAGTCTTAAAGGCACAGGAGCAGGCTGTCCCCATGTGCCGTAAGGCAAATAGGTGGGGAAGACGACCGGCCTGGCTGGACAGAGGTCTACTACTGCGACTAAGGAAAAAAAGGAGAGCTTACCAGCTCTGGAAGAAGGGACAGGCAACCCAAGAAGAGTACAGGGATCTTGTCAGGTTATGCAGAGAGGAAATTAGAAAGGCAAAAGCCCAGCTGGAATTTAACCTGGCCACTGCTGTAAGGG